AACGACGAAGCCCTAAGGGAAGAGCTCGACATGGTCGAAGAGATCCGATCGGGGGCTTTTCTTTACGAGGCCATACTGAAGCAGCATATAACTCTGTGTCATATAACGCCAAAGTCATAAAACACAAATTCAAGGTCGGCAACTTAGTCTTATGGAGAAATCAAAAAGATTCTCGTGAGGGAAAGATGGCCGCCAACTGGGAAGGCCCCTATCGTGTCCGTAGGATAACGGGAAATGGGGATTACTACCTCGAACACCTAAGTGGAGAACCATTACCTCAACTATAGAATGCTATAAAGCTAAAACAATATTAAAGCTAAGTCCCAAATAAACGTCAGGGCCTAGAAGTCGGCGTACCCTCTCCGACAAACAACAGGGCTTGCTCGACGACAGAAGCATGTTGAGGTACGAACATAGCCTCCAACCAATAACAAAAGGCAGTTTTTCGGTCATTGGTCGAGCGGAACCTTAGCCCGACGGGGACACCTCGAACGAGCTCCGCCATCGAAGTACCTGATAGGCAGACTACCCAGCTCGCGATGGGAAATTCACACTTTGAAGTCAAGACCCCGACCGCAATCTTGGCCTCGTCCATGCGGATCCCGAATCCGCCTCCTCGACGCAACTCCACATGTGTCGACCACAACTAAGGTCGAGCACAAATTCCACACTTCATGAAATAAACATCTAACATGCAATAAACAGACAAGATAAAGGCATTTAGAAAAGCTGACCACGAAGGCCGATGTTGTCCAGATATTACAAAATTAAGGGCATGCAAACCCAAACAAAATATAGTCGGGAAAAACCCCTTGTCCAAGTTTTAAAAAAAATGGGGGCACACATGCCCCAGTCTAATGATTACAAAAATACAGACACGCAGGCCCAAACAAAATAAGCGAAACTCCAAGAAAACATCAATCACTTCTCGAAGTACCCTCTTAGGTCTCTAGCTTGGAAGATTCGTGATGAGGGACCATTTTACCATCAACCACCTAAGAAAAAACTCTAGCACCTTCACTGTTGAGCCCCAGATTCGGCTAGGCCAACTGAGCCATCACGGTCTAAAAACTGTCGGACATCGCATCCATGAAATCTGACGTAAGAACCTGGATTCGATAAACCAGTTATACACGAGTCTTCAAGCTGGCAAATCCTTTAGGCTCATCTTCTATGGGCAGAACGACATCTTTTAAGTTAGCAACCTCCTTCTCCATATTTTTCTTCTTAAGCAGCAACAGTGAGTCCCTCTCCTCAGAAACTTTGGTTGTTTTCTCCTTCTCCTTTGTTAGCTCGTCAGCCCGCTCCTGAAACTTTTCCTCGCTCTTCCCGAGGACGGTCTTCAGCTTCTTTACCTTTTCCAAGAGAGTTGTTTTCTCCAACTTCAACTTGCTCACCATGGAAGAAGAATTGCCCCCTCACTTGTAAGGACCATAGCCATCTTCGCGAACTTCAATAGACCAACCATGCTCGATGCCAGATGTTTTATTCTACCCTCTTCATCGAGCCTCCTGATAATGGAAGACTCATTATTAGAAACGGCCAGGGGAAATGCTTTAAAAAATCCTTCTCAACAAAGCAAGGAGGAAGGTTAAAGGCCCGAGCACACAGTCCATCCTTAGTTGAATCCACTGGCTAATTTTCAGGGTGACCCTTCTTCTTCCCTAACAGGGCCGCCAACTAAAAGATATCATGAGACCCTGACGAAGCACTAAACCCATCTCTGGTCTGCTCGAGAATAGGGTCAAGGCGAGTAGGCTGATTAGGCTTCATTACCCTCTTGCTTCTCTTTTTATCCTGAGTCAATTTCAGCAAACGTTCACGATGCTCCTCCATATTACATGGAAAAATAAAAACAACATGCTCGAATTAGTACCTCGGGGAGGAAGTATAAAGACAAATTTAAAACAAAAGGCAACAGAAATGCATGGGCAGAGATCCAGAAGAGCGGAGACATCTCCATAAGTACGACATTCAATGAGCACCTTGGTATGGATCGGGCGCGCCTCGAACGTAGGTTCACTGTCACCATCAAGGATGTCGTCTCCCTCCTGCGTCACCCACCTATAGGGGAAGAAACCATCGACGAATTTGTTGAGGACGTTGAAGGCTCCTTAATCCTCGCTACCCATACTACCGACAGAAGTATGGTAGTGACTGGGCCCGTGGTCGTAATGAGCCTGACACCATTGGATAGGAAATTTAGAGAGCCTCTCGATCTCTTTGTTCCAATCTTCTTCTTAAAAAAATTCCCCATCCTCATCAACGACAGTAGCTGGGTCAAACACCGCATCCACGACCTCTTGAAACGAGGGTTGCACGACAGACCATTTGTCCTTGAAGTCATGAACATAGTCCATATACATCCTGAACAGTCTCTTGGATTGCTTGAAAGAAACCCAACTATACTTTCCTCCCTTAGACTGTCGTTGAAGGTGGAAAACCCTGAAGAACAAGGGAATTCTTGCTCTAATCCTTAGATACCGACAAGTGATCTCAAACGCCCGTATAAAGGCGATCACGTTGGGGTGCAATTGGGATGGCGCCAGAGACAAATGATTAAAGACGCCCATTTGAATGTCTCTAAAGGGTAGGCAAAGCCCCAAACCTTTGAAGACCTTCTCACACATAGGGAAGCAATCTTCCTGGAAAGTCGATCATATCCTAGCCATAGGGGTCGGGCGAAAGATCATGAAATTTTGTTTGAAAATTTTCTGGTCACTGCGATATTCGATGCTCGAGTATGCCTCCTTTCGAGTATTACTGAAGACCAAGGCTATTCCTCAAGGCTTTGGCCCAACCCAAGACAATGATTCATCAGTGATAGTGTCGACTAAGTGGAGACCCTCGTTGGCTCCACTCACCTCTTCTATTTCGACGTGTTCGTTTGAGGTGACTACCTCACTTGGTTCAGCCATTTTACTTTTAAATAAGATAAACCAATGAATTTGACAGATAAATCAAATCCACCCTTCCACCATAAAACAAGTGAAAGGGGGTTGCTATGACCAAACCGTGTTGACAAACCCTCATTCAGCGAGAAGCGGACAATCTCATGAATGGCACAGGGGGAGGATGAATCCCCTGAGCAATATCATGGGTTTTGTAAAGAGAAGATGAACTTCACTAGCAACCAAATGAGTATTATGAAGAATGAGATGAATCTCTCTATCAATCCCATGAACATTGCGAGGAGGGGATAAATTCCCCGAGAAATTTCATGAGTTCTATGAGGAGCGAATGAGTTTCACGAGCTAACTCGTGAGTATTACAAAGAGAGGTATGAATATCCCGAGGAAAAATCCCCCAGATAGTGAAATTCATCAGGAAATCCATAAATTTTATGGGGAAGTCCCTTTGGAAATTTCCATAAAATGCAAAAACCATCTATAAACAAGAATGATCACAGAGAAACACTTACTTGAGTGAAGTTGGTATGGATTATGTGGCGGAAGTTGTGGTGGTATTTGCGACTGAAAGGAAAATTGATGGCAGTGAAGAGAAAGGAGAAAACAAGAACTTGAAAACAGTACAAATGAGCCCTTGAGTGTTATTTATAAAACTTGCGCGGGAGACAAAATATCGTGTCGAATAACGTGTCATCTATTTTTTTCTCCACCGCCCATGCGTTCAGAGTCATAATGACCCATACTCCATAGGCCATCATCCTACCCTAAGAGCTACGCCATGTGGCCCGCGAAGTAATTTTCTTGCAAATTCTTCGTCTCACCGTGAGTCAAGGAACATGTCAACTATCCCCACAAGCACGCTCCAACTTATATCCCAACGACTACCATATAAGGAAGACCTCGTCCCTAGAAAAAAGAGGGGACCCCTACGTAGCTGTCCTCATCGGACCGACAAGTTGGTCTTAATTCATAGCTAATCCTCTTAGGAGAAACAACTTAAGGGGCTCCTATTCTGAACTGGGCCTGCACTTGGCCCAAACATCATACAAGATCCAATCCAACTAGGTTATAGGAGAAGATAATCAAAAGTGAGTCTTCCTTTGACCATGTCGGACAGTGATTTCGTTCCTCTAATCAAGGATATATCCCCTAAGGACATAACTTGTAGCATACCTTCCGTGGAGGAACAACAACACTCAAGAGGTCCTCGTGAGCACCTTCCTCGTAGGCCAGGAATCTAATGCCTCCGAATATCACAGGGTCCTCTTGACCCCTAAAAGGCCGCATCCAC